CAAAAATCTATTAAAAACAGAAACAACTGCTTCTGAAACTCTCCAATTTGTTTCCCCAGATTAATATATTCAACCCCTGCAGCAGCTCCATAGCACTGATGCAGCCAAATCGGTCTAACTTTACTGATGCATATGCATTTGCAAACGGTGGCCCACAGCAGCTGGCCGGTGTTTAATGTTTGAGTCATTTCATAAGATCAGGTATATAAACAGCTGACAGCAAAAAGTGTTTTACATTTTTAAGTCTGTGTGGATAAAATGTGTGCTGCTTTCACGGCCTTAAAATAAACACAATTAAATAAGGTCAATGCAACTCCTGTAGTTACCTCACATCTTGTTGTCATGTTGCTGTTTTGCTTACTGGATGTTGCTGTTAGGAATATCAAGAACATTAATGAAGAAAAACCAATCCAGAAAAACTCTGAGATTAAAAGATTGTTTTTTATCCTTTAGCAGCCAGCTGTCACATCTATGGGTGACGACATCTATGCTTTACAATTCTCCATTCTCATGTTTAGGTACTTGTTTTTTTAATTACTAATTCTAACAATAAAAGAAACTTGTTTTCATCTGTTGTGCCAGAAAACAAACTGTGCTAAAGCTGGAAAATAAAAAGAAAGTTTCAAAACACACATAATTAATGTATAATTATTTTCAATCAACTGATGTTTTTGTCTTTATAGAACACAGACAAAGTATCGCAAATATAAACTTGACAAATTATCTGCCATCAATAGCATGGCCTTCTGTCTGTCACAGCTGTGAGCGGAAAAAAATAACAAATAAAATAACAAATGAAGCCTTTATTTTTAAATTGAGTGCCACTGTTAATGGTAGATAGCTTTTCACATTAAAAAATAGAAATCACAGGACACATGTCTAATAAGAAATAACTTATAATTTATGATTGTATTTTTGTTAGTTATTATGTCTAATCAAAAATATAAATGTGATATTTTTTTAACTATTTTTGATCATAATTGATTATAATAACTTTAAACTTAATGTGGTAGGTGAACTGATGTCTTCCACTTTTCTTTTTTCCCCAAATATCTTCAGTCCATCCATTGTTGCATCCATGTGACTATCTGTGATTTTAGTAAAAGTAAAGGTCATTTAATGCATGAAGTAGAGCGGGTAAAAGACAACGAGAAGCAGATTGATTCAGAAAGATGAAAAGCAAAGGATGACAACAGAAGGCTATGCCATGTGACCTGTTGGACAAAATCAAGTTAACATAGTTGAATGAAAAAGTTCTTCTAAATGTGTTATAATCAAATGGAAATGTGTCTTTATATCATTACCCTTAGAGTGCCCGTCATGGCCCCAGGCATTCTAAAGAGCTCTCATCTCAGTCTTTAAGCTCTAAATGGTTTTCTCCACTGAGAATACCTCTTCTCATTTTTCACTTTACTTAGATGAAGAAATATTTTTCTTGAAGTAGGCAAGATAATTGCATAGTTTATTCTGGCATTCATAATGTGTTAGTCAGTACCAGCTTCAAGATATTGCAATTTGCAGTTGGTTTTTTGTTGTTGTTTTGCTTTTCTTTAAAAAAAAATCGATACTACACACATTGATGATGATTTGACTTTCTTTGCCATTTTATCCTATTTGACAGTAATGTCAGAGTGCCAGCTTATAGCCTCTTCAAAGATGGATCAGTGAGTTAAAACCTCACTTTGTGGATATATTAAAATAAAATAAAATTTAAAAAAAACAGAGGCATTGCATAAAAGTATGCGGCTTGTTAGGGGTTAAGCGTGCATAAAAGTATGTGACTTATTCAGTTTCAGGGTTTAGAGTAGTCTTTACCAGCTGAATAGAAGACTTTTGCCAACAGTTTGCCTCTGCTGAAGCAGTACAGCACTTCAGAGTTTTTGCATCCTAGAAAGAAATTACATTTGCCTTGGTGGCTGTGACAGATTGACAGTTGCATGTGGAAATGTTTGGACAGTGACAAAATTGCTCTGTATGCCAACACCACATATATATAAAGTTGAGATGCAACCTCGAAGAATAGTTCCTAGTGCTTTCAAGGGCAATATGCCCTCGGTAGAGTCTCTTTAACCTCCTAAGACCCGAACTCTTCCATGGGATTCATTTTTAATTTCTCTTTGATATTTGGGCTGATTGGGACCCGATGAATGTAAAAACAAAGAATTACCAGATTTTTTTTTTTGATTTTTTTTTTACCTGATTTTTGTTCCTAAGAAAAATGAGAGCCACATATGAGGATATTCGTTTAAAATTTTGATAGAACAGCAGCAGTATAATGTCTTCGTAAGTGGATATCAGGCCCTAGTAGAGCAAAATTAAATATTTTGGTTTAAATAACTTAAAATGTGATGTCCACATATGTGGACGCCAGGTCCTAGGAGGTTAAGGCACATTGGGCCTAGGTGATGACCCCTACAAAGAAGAAAACCTCTGGGTACTGGGAGCCCCGTTCTGGAGCCAGGTCTTGGGAGTACCTCAAGACTCCGGCCGGATGGATGGCCTTAGCCTTTAGATTTTTGCCCACGTCAAAGGTGCTTCTGGATTAATTTTTTTTTAACAGAGTGTCTAAGGACAGCGATAAGTGGAGACTGTGTTGGGTTAGGTGGCCTTAGGATCTCATTTCTGTTTTTTTTTTATTATGGTTCTGTTGTCTTTATGAAGCAAATACCTCACTGCACTGTAGCACCTCACGCCAAATAAGAAGCGCTTAGCATGAGAATAAGCATAAGTGTGATGCTGTGGTACTCGATCAGAAAGGTTGGAGTGCCCACTCCTGGTCCAGCTGGGAGGAAGCCCTGGGGTTGAGCCAGGATATGCGGGAGAGATTGTATCTCTTTGGCTTGGGAATGCTCCAGTTTCCCCCAAGGAGAGTTTGGGGAGGTTTCTGGGAAGAGGAAAGCCTGTGCATCTCTGCTTAAATTTCTGCCTCTGCAGCACCTGTATAAACAGCAGAAAATTGATGTATGTATGGATTTAACCGAAGAACATATTTAAAGCTATGTTTCAAGAGTTCGGAAAAATTACATTCAGTTACCTAGATTTAGTTGGATGAATTAACATAATCATTAATAATATGCAAATTTTTAAGACTTTAAGAATCTATTGCCACGAGTGAATGCTTGGGCACTGTTGCCTCAGAGCCAGAGCTCTGGGTTCAACCCTCTCTGCTTGTATACATTTTCTGTGGGTGAGCTCATTTCAGTCACCACTGGGGAGAGAATAAAACGAAATAACATGCCAGGTTACATCTGCCTATGTCAGTCCTGGACAGTCTCACAAAAAGATGGCGTTAATGTCAATTTTACTTCCTAGTTAAACAAAGGTTAAAAAAAATACTTGGAGTCTGTGAACTCCAAGTAATGGGTTTGCCCCTTTGCCAGGACTTTACTTCAGTTGTATTTGTTGGCGGGTCTTTCTTGTTTGATCTTTGTCTCCTTTAGGGTAAATACAAGCTTAATGGCTTTTAAATCATGGAATATTTTAAATATATACACTACCAGTCAAAAGTTTGGACACACCTTCTCATTTAATGTGTTCTTTCTTTCTTTTTTCTACTTTCTACATTGTAGATACTTACTAAAGACATTAAATACATGAAGCAAGATTTATGGAATTATGTAGCAAAGAAAATTTTTAATAAATAACTCTAAATTTGTTTTATGTTGTAGATTCCTCAAAGAAACTGTCGGACTTCTCTCAATGACTTTTTTTGACGTCGTCATCTGAAATGGTTTTCACTTCAGATGTGCCTTATCAGGGTTCACTTGTGGAATTTCTTGCCTTCTTAATGGGGTTGGCACCATCAGTTGTGTTGTGCAGAAGTCAGCTTGTTACACAGCTGTCAGTCCTATTTGAATGTTAGAATTCATATTATAGCAAGAACCAATCAGCCAAGTAAAGAGAAACAACAGTCCAAGAGTGTGCAATGCAGTGATCAAAGCAAAGGATTGATATTTTGAAGAATCTAAAATCAATTTTGTTTTTGTTTTTTGCTACGCAACTCCATATGTGTTCATTCATAGTTTTGATGCCTTCTATGAGAATCTACAATGTAAATAGCCATGCAAATTTCTTTACTTAATCAGTCAAATATGTGAAGCAAAATGCTGGTTGTGAAGGGTACATGTTTTTGGCTGCAGTTGGTTAAACTGCAGCTGGAAAGTCTAAGAAATATGCCCTAGCATCACAGTTGCCATAAAACAGATTAGCGTCTGTTTATCCTCTAAATAGACAAGGCATCAGATATCTTATTTGAGTGTCCTGGTTCATGTTATGGTAATATGTTTTAATGTTAAGACATGTGGCTTCTGAAGCATTTCCCAGAAAATGAAGTAACTGTCCACTCCTGCTTGCTTTCTAACCATTTTTAAAGATATGCCTTTAAAGTAAATCATAGTAAACACAGACTTTTAGTTTTTCTTTGGATAATCCTCTCACAATCTGACAACTTCCTTCTGTTCACAAACCCTGAGGGTATATTCAGTTTAAGCTTGGTGAACTTAGACATGGAAGGTCACTGCAAGTTAATCTTATTTGTAACCAAACATTTCTTCTTTCTCTCGTCCAGCGAGGGACAGTATTTTCTTTGGAGGACTTACAATTGCAGTCTATTACCCATGGGTCAAACTACGTGGAGTTATTTAGCGTATTAAGTATGCCTGTTTGGTTTGCTGTTTGAACCTCGCACACCATGCACTATTGATTAGCCTGTGGCTTTGTTCCTACGTCAGCATTGCTGTTTTGAAAGCATGGTTGGAGGGGCTAAAAAGAGATGGGGTGATAACTAGTGTTGTGTAAATGTTTGGATTACGGGTGGCTGAGATAAATCTAAGAGCTGAAGTGCTGCTTTCAGGACCAACTAACTTTTAGTTTATTTAAGCTGTAGCATAAAACACTTTAAGTGTAATCTTTTAAATTTAACCTAAAACATATAGTTTGACTTTCTCCTACTTATAAGGTGATTAATCTATAAATGTGTTTGTCCTTGTCTCACTCTATAGCTCCCTCAGAGCCTTTGCTGTGCAAGTTTGCTGATGGAGGCCAGAAGAAGAGACAGACCCAGGTCAAATATCCCCAGAATGGACGATCGTGGACACGGGAAGGAGAGGTGAGGCTTAAAAATATATTTAATCATCAAAAAAAGCTCCCTGGGAGACTTCATAAAATATTCTCTTGGCCTGCTGTCAAATATAGTCTCTTGCTTTTCTCAATTAAAGTGAAAAAACAAAACTGAACACAAGTCTACTGAGAGGACTTTAAAAAGAGAAATTACAGTTATCAAAAAAAATCATTTACACTTCTTTCAATTAAGTTTTATAGCTGAAGGATAACATTTCTTTTATTATAATAGTCAAAGAAATGAGTGATTATGCACAGCGGTGTCTATATTATGTTTTAGGAAACGTTACAGTTGTAAATCATCTATTCTAATAATTTTCAATATGCAGCTGATGCTCCCTTTGACTCCATTTTTATTTTTTTTTTCAAACATACCACAGAATTTAAAATCATAATAGCTTGACAGATCCCCCTCCTCTCCGTGGGGTCATTATCCACTTTCATTTCTAGTAAGGCACTGTAGGTTCAGTTAGATGCTGCTGACAGTATGAAAGCTGGCACACAAAAAGGTTGTTAAATTTAAAGTATAAGGTTTCTGTAAGGTCCCAATTGCAAAGTTGTTTTTGCTTTTGTTGAAACTCCCACCTCCTGTCCGTCATCTTCAGAAGAAATGAAACCTTGTGCAAAGGATTGAAAGCAGATTGACTGTTTCACAATGCAGAGAGTTCAAAAGTTTTTAGTGTCAATACCAAAGCTTTAATTTACAGAACAAGGGGAAGTGAATAATAATGCTGCCACCCACACACCCCGGTGCAGTTTTTAACAGTTTCCCAGTGTTCTCGTTACACGAAGGTTGGGAAAGAGCAGGGTGGTGGAGTGAAATGAAATGGAACCAGGCTGAAACTATGCACTGTAACAAGAGGCGCCGCAATGAAAACAAGATGTTGCAGTGTTTGACCTTTGCTCATGGCTGTGTGGAGCAGGCACAGATTGCAGCTTTAGTCTTTTTGTATAAGAGCAAACGTGTGTGTCATAGCCTGGCTTATCATTGGCCGAAAGGCTGGGCACACCCTAAACAGGTCACCAGTCTGTCACAGGGCTAACACAAAGAGATAAACAACCATGCACACTTCATTTTACCAACTGTGGAAGTGAGCCACAGTATTTGGAGAGAACCCACACAGGGACAACATGCAGGGAGAACAGGCTGCCAAACCCAGGACTGTCTTAATGTGATGCCACAGTGCTAACCACTGCACCACCATACCATCAATTTTGGTGGTATTTTTTTGTAATGTGTCATCAACTAGGAATGTGAGTTAAAAAAACAAACAAACAAAAAAAAACTCCAACTTAATAGTATAAAACATAACTCATAAAACAGTCAGAAATGAGCAAAGTCTGCTGGCCAAGGTTAAACATCCCTGCAAAAAATGCATCTGCCTTTAACCACCACAGTAAATACCTTAATCACATTATTAAAAAGCTCAACTTAAATGTATTCACAATTAAATGTGTGGTATTTTGCACAGTGGATTTCACATACGCAGTGCCATTGCTTGGAGAGTGTAGCTAAATGAGCAGTTAAAGCACATACAGCCTTTTTTCAATGCAAGTTAACGTCCACACAGCTTTGCAGAAATGGGTAAAGTGAATATGTCATTTTATTCAGATTTCGCTTAAATACAGGCATTCATTTGCTAGATAAAAATACTATGGAGCTGTGCCGGTTTTGTATGTCTTAATTTCCAGAGCACTCTCATTCCCAACGCGTAAAATACAATTTGTCACGTCCCAATGCATCTCGTAGTAACCTGAAAGGTAGCCTTCCACTTACTCCAGATTCTCAATTGAATCCAATAGAATGGCACTCGCGGTGGTAACACGTGCTGCAGCTGTCTACCTCTAACCTTAACCTAAAGCCTATCAGGTAGTGTTTTCCAAAGTGATTCATGAACACAACGAAAAAACATATGTGCATGTATAGATTCATTCAAAACCACTGTCATGCCTCTGAACGCCTAACATACCGACGATTTGTCACATGTCAGTTTTCCGTTAACGTACTTCCCTCTTGTCAATGTCTGTGTGAACTTGAAATAAGTGATGACTGCTTTCAGTGAGACACCTCACACATTTGTCTGTGGCACACGTCGTGACAAGCCCCGCTCGGCCCTGAAGCATCTCTTCAGAGGTTTATGCATTTGTCAGAGCCAGGCCTCAGAGTCCAGGCTGACTTATATAAACTAATACTTCTGCTAATAGAGACATCTGGCCAGGGAGATGCTTTGAGGTGCTTCACTGCCTACTTATCTCAGTCAACTCATTCTGATACGAGTCTGGCCTTGGTACGGTGACGTGAATACGTGCGTTACACATGTAATCACACGCTTACAGAATTTGTTTTGGAAAATGGATAAGGGATACGCATGCAGCTGTGTAGCAGCACAGAAAGAGATTTGCTGTTAGATGAATGCAAATCCCTGGAGTTGATCAGTTTTTCTATTTGGTGTCTAGCAGTGCTTTTTGTTGCTTCTGGAGTCTATACCTACCTACCCAGCCTAGGCTTGGCTAAAACAGTGTTTGTGGAAAAACCAAACACTGAGCTGGGTTCAGCATCAGGGCACCCTTTCAACTCATGTGCCAATTTGGAGAGAAGAGCCTTGTGTAGAATGTAGAGTAAGTACAAATGACTTGTGCAGGGCCGATAGATGGTGATGGGGTGGTGACAGAGTAAAAAAAAA